AAGCATTTTTATACATCCAATTTTTTTTTTTGCAAATTCATGAAAAAAGTGTTGACAACGATTGGTAGAAGTAACAATACAAGAATTAGTCATCATTCTTTTATTTGAAAAAAACCTTTTCTACATTTAGATTCCAAGCGTATCGAAGTAGCCATCGGTAATACAGTAGTGTTTATTTGTTATTTTATTCTTCTAGTCTGTGGACAAGTTTCTTTATAATAAACTCGTTCCGATTTGTATGTGTGCCAGTTCTTCTGTAATCACAAAGGTACTTTTTAGATTATGAACGCCAAGTTTCATATAAAAACACTTAAAAAAAAAATAATAAGGTACAATTTCTTTATTTTATTATTTTATAAAAACACGGACGACGTTCTCTACGAAAATAGGTCGTCCATGTACTAATCGAAAAATCACAATATAACTTTCAATTGGTATCAACACCAGATTTTTGAGCCACTTTTGAGCTTTTAAGGAATTTAACTTTAGGATCGAGTTTTTTATCGAAAAAAAAGCTTTAATCCGAAAAATAACAATGTAGCCTTTCGTGGCCTTTATGATTTACTTTCAAACGGTATCAACTTCACTCAGAAGAGTCTTTCATCAAGCAATGATATATCTGTTAGAAAAGATATACCATTCTTTGACGAAATGAAATCACCCAGTGTATTATATGTACCTAACTTTTCACTTATAACGGAGGCCACTCCCATCTTTAGTACCACCACTATTATTAAGAGTAAGTGCAAAATATAAGAGTTTCATTTAACTCTCTTCAAATAAATTACTTTGCATGTGTTTGCAGCCACTGTTGTTGTAGGTGGAAAATTAGGAATGTAAAATTCAGGCTGGCTGAAATATAATGTAAATCTGTAAAAATCGAAAACCGTTGATATCGAAAAAACGATTCTGAGAGAGGTTTACTGAAAAATATTGCTGTGTCAACAATACATATGCCATATTATAGCAAAATAGTTGCATATGCATTAAACATTTTCTTTAAAAATATTTCTTCAATTTTGTATCTATTCTCCCGTTATCCTGATTTTGACATATTTAATTTTTAGGGAGGGATTTGACTTTAATAAAATTTATTTTAATAATATAATAATATAATTAACAAATATAATTTATTATTACTTATTACAAATAGTAATAACAATTACTACCTCCTAATTATAGTCATATCCAAACATCAAATTGTACAAGTTATAATCAGCAAAAAATAGGTGCGTTAGCATTCATATTATATAATACATGACTGATATTATACGTAAATATTTTTTTCAAAAATATTATGTTATTATATGTCTATATTAATAAAGCATAATTTATAATTTTTAGTAAACAAAAAAAGTGAAAATTTCCATAATTTTAGTAATTTTCAAATTAAAATAAACTCAAAAAAAAATTTTTGATCCTGTATCGAGTAGGCAGTGAACCTAGCGGTAATTTTAACTGCAGTAATTTTTTCAATTAATTTATCTTAGACCGTCAAGTGAAAGTGATTACACCATAATAATCTACCTTAAAGGTAGGATTATAGTGTTTCAATGATTTTATTGATTTCAATAGTACAATATTTTAAATTTAAACATTTAATAACTTTAAATTTTATTGTAATATGGCTGATTTTGTCTGATTCAAATCAACTTTTGTTGAATAGGTAATTTACAAACTTGGCGATCTAAACCTCTAGCAAGAACATTTGGATAATCAGTCGACTACTACTATAACGTAACTTGTAGCAATTATTATTGTCAACTGGAATCATACCTATATAGTAAATATAAATTGTTAAGATCGTAACGCTTAACTGAAATATATTAAAATCAAAGCATAAAATTAAATTTGTGTCTCCTAAGAATATCGTATTATTCGCGTATCTATTTCCGATTTATAGCAAATATGCTGTTAAATTGTATCGTTTCGTATGTTATTAGTTAATCTTTTATGTTAGTGTCAGTACACGGTGATGGTGAGTTTGGTCCTGATTTGCCACAACAAGAGCTCCTTTTAAATCCATATTCCTCTGATGGCCCTGGCAATCCACCTGTTCCCAATTACCATGGCATTCCTTCTAACAATAATCACATTACCAATAAACNTTTTACCTTCCCACGGTTTTGGAAATGTGTATGTAAAGTACAAAATATGTTTCTTAATTAAGTGTATTGCTTAAACAAATCATTGTTGTAGAAGCATAATTTTCGACTGAACATGACTTAGACTTGGATTGTTCGTCAGCGATGGTTTACGGTATATATTAAATTATTTAAAAGAGTGGCTACAATATTCCCTTTTATCCTACGACGTCTTTTTTTTTTTTATTGTAAATCGGTTCAAAATATCCATAGACTAGAATTTTTAACAGAAAACCTTTTCTAGACTTGATAAAATTTTTAAATTGATCGAACATTTGAGATATTTCAAGACATTTTATTTTGCAAGTTTTATACATTATTTGATATATTTTTTATATCTTATTTGACAGCTATATTAATTGGTATTCAATTGTAAGACTAAACAACATGCTTTAACATTCACCAAATGACTTATTAGAAGACGTTCAGGTTTTATGAAAATATATTTTATATAATACGGACAGTCGGTCTGAGACTATTTTAAACGGCTACACATAAAATCTGAAATCAAGAATTTCAGGCTAGGGTAATGTATTTGTTTAAATTTTTTCAACATGTAATTTTGAAATACAAACTTACTTCATAATTTGGCACATTTCATTAACTTAATTTCTCTGATTCCTACTTAGTAAATACCTTTTCTAATATTTTTGTTCTGTTTGAAATCTAAACCATACGTATTTAATTTATCATAGTGTGACAGTTGTTTTTCCATATAATCCAGAAAAATTAAAAATATCCCAAATAGTTTTCTCCTACAACCATACTTATTATTAAGTGTACCCAAATTGGTACGTTTGGTAATGTATTTACTATATTGTGTAACGGGTTTTCCCAAGTTTTTTGAAAAAAACCTTAGAAAATGATTTGAACGACCTTTTTTTAAGAACCAACTAGATTTAGATTTCAACCAAAATTATCTACTGGATTTTTGAATTTAAATCATGTTATAAATTTCGGTAAAGTATACAGAAATATGACAGAATAATTATTATTTTTTATAAGTGTGTAACAAGCTGCACAAACAGATATTTATTAAAGATCATAGAAATGTGTTTACAATATTTTTATACTAAATACTGGGCCAATTTTTTGTTTGTTTTTTAATTGATAATAAGGTACTAAATTACACAATATGACGTACGTGATATTTGCAAATGAAAAAAAAAAAAATTACAAAATTTATATATTTTGTGCCTGTATGAATATAAATTAAGTTTTATGGATGAGGGTAAATATTTATCCAATGAGTAAATATAAATAAAAATTAACCTATTACAAATAAATTTGTACCTGGCACAAAATATATTATATTATTATATTAATTTAATTTGTGAAAAGTGTATTAAAAAATGGAACAGTTTTCTATCTTATCTACACATTTTGTATTCTATACATTTTGTTAGTGAAAAGTACGAAGA